TAGTCCACTCACCAAAGTCAATTCCCTCGGACACTTTGCCTCGGGCCACTGACAGCAGGATGGCTCCGCGGCCGTTCTCGCAGGCCTGGGGAGGGGAGGCCGAGACAGGAGCTGCGTGCCCTCGGAGCCGCCTCCTTCAGGCCCTCTGCGCGCAGTCTCCTGGCATCCCCCACGCCCCTACCCACCTCCTGGTACTTCTCCAGGGCGACACTGGTCTCGGCCCCATCTTGTGTCTCGATGAAGAGCAGCTTGTTCCTCTGGATGTTTTCGAGAATGCCCTAGGGAAGGACACCAGGCAGGTCGGGCTGCGGGTGGGCCGGAAGTGGACTAAGGGCACAGGCATCCTGGCTAAACCCAGCTCTGCCCCAGCTCCTGTGCGCCAGCCTTGCACCTTCCTTCAGCCTTCCTTGTGGGAAGCTCTGTGATCGGCGGCGGGTGGGGGGGCAACAACCCCCGCACGCCATCCTTCGGACAAGTGGGGCAGCCGTATGGTCCGAGGTGGCCCACTGGGACACTCCGGCCCCCGGCTGGTGGTTAGTAGAGAGGCTGATGTAGGTCAGGCAGAGCCAAACAGAGGCTGCCCAGGGATTTCCTGTGACACTGCGTTTAACTGGGTGAGATCAAGGACGGACACGGGGACAGACCAGAGGGTCCAGAAACGCACCCCCACACAGGTCATCCGTACCTGTGTCCGTCTCCAGTGGGGAGAGTGCCTTCCACTTCTCCACACGGAGAAAAAAGAACCTGGGCCCTGACCTTATCCCCTACACAAGGACGAATCTGAAGTAACTCACAGACCCAGATGTGAAAGCCAGAACCACAAGGCTTCTAGAAGACACACACGAGACCACCTTGGTGACCCTGGGCCAGACGAAGTCTTCTTAAAGAGGACACCACTCAGGATGTGGATTCAGGTGGCCGGAAGCCACCTTCCCCACCGTGCGGGAAGCGCCCACGTGAGGACAAGACGAAGGTCTTGGCCGAGAGGATGAGGCCCCTCCCCCCCGCTCTGTTCCTGGGTGCACCAGGAGAGAGGTCACAGCAGCCACCCGGTGCCCAGCTGTGCCTGAGCCCCTTTTCCAGAAGGCCCATGACCTCACCCACACACTGCCTAGCAGGGGCTCGAGTTTTTAGCCTGGAGGGGGGGAGGGGGGAGAGGCACGTGCAAGGGTACACACTGTGTATTCTTCGAACTGTTCGCTGTGTTCCACACGCTGTCCCGTCACTTGTGGTGCCCGTCGCCACTCAGAACGCAAGACAAAGGAAACACGCTGAGGGAAGAGGGGACTTCCGGGGAGGGGGCGGCTGGGCGTACCTGCTCGTACCAGGAGGCCACGGTGCTCTCCATGTACTGGTAGCTGGTGAAGAAGGCCACGATGCCGTCGGGGACCACGGCGGACATCTCCAGCAGGAGGTTCCCGTAGTTCCGGATCACCGCTGGGAGGGGTCGGAGGGCGGCCTCGGTCGTCCTCCCCACTCCCTGTCAGAGCGCTTCTCCCTAATGCCCTGGTTTTGGCTTTTTGGTTTTTTTTTTTTT